AAGGAATTGGAAGCGGAATTTCCAAGGAGTTAGAAAGACAGTTCGAATACCATGGGCACTTCTGCATCTCAGAGGCAATCGAATCAGAATTGCCCGAGAAGCAACAGGGCCAGGAAGGAAAAAGAAGTTCGAAAGGACTGTTATAAGGGACAGGAATTTCGAATACCAAGGGCCATTCTGCATCTCAGAGACAATCGAATCAGACTTGCCCCAGAACCCCCAAGGCCAGGAAGGAAAAAGGGAGTTAGAAAGGAGTGTGATAAGGAATTTCCAGAGTTATAAAGGAATTTCGAATACCAGGGGTAATTCCGCATCTCAGAGACAATCGGATCAGAATTGTCCGAGGAACGCCAGGGCGAGGAAGGATGAAGGAGTTAGAAAGGAATGTGGTAAGAAACTTCCAGAGTTAGAAACGAATTTCGAATATCATGGTGAAATTCTGCATCTCAGAGGCAATCGAATCAGAATTGCCAGAGAAACGCCAGGGCGAGGAAGGAAACAAAGAAGTTATAAAGGAATGTGATAAGGAATTTCCAGGGTTAGAAAGGAATTTCGAATATTATGGGGAAATTCTGCATCTCAGAGGCAATCGAATCAGAAGTGCCCGAGAAGCGCCATGGCCAGGAAGGAAAAAAAGAAGTTAGAAAGGACTGTGATCAGGAATTTCCAGTGTTAGAAAGGAATTTCGATTACCAGGGGTAATTCTGCATCTCAGAGACAATCGAATCAGAATTGCCAGAGAAGCGCCAGGGCCAGGAAGGAAAAACGAAGTTAGAACGGAGTGTGATAAGGAATTTCCAGACTTAGCAAAGAATGTCGAATACCAGGGGTAATTCTGCATCTCAGGGACAATCGAATCAGAATTGCCCGAGAACCGCCAGGGCCAGGAAGGAAAGAAGGAGTTAGAAAGGACTGTGATAAGGAATTTCCAGGGTTAGAAAGAAATCTCAAATACCAGGGGTAATTCTGCATCCCAGAAACAATCGAATCAGAATTGTCCGAGAAGCGCCAGGGCCATGAAGGAACAAGGAGTTAATGAGGATGTTGACAAGGAATTTCCAGAGTTAGAAAAGAATGTCGAATACCAAGGGCAATTCTGCATCTCAGAGACAATCGAATCATAATTGCCCGAGAAGCGCCATGACCAGGAAGAAAAAGGAGTCAGACAGGAATGTGATAAGGAATTTCCAGAATCAGGAAGCAATTTCGAATACCATGGGGGAATTCCGCATCTCAGAGACAATCGAATCATACTTGCCCGAGAAGCGCCAGGGCCAGGAAGGAAAAAGGAGTTAGAAAGGAATGTGATAAGGAATTTCCAGACTTAGCAAAGAATGCCGAATACCTGGGGTAATTCTGTATCTCGGAGAATATCGAACCAGAATTGCCCGAGAAGCGCCAGGGCCAGGAAGGAAAATGGAGTTAGAAAGGACTGTGATAAGGAATTTCCAGACTTAGCAAAGAATGTCGAATACAAGGGGTAATTCTGTATCTCGGAGAATATGGAACCAGAATTGCCCGAGAAGCGCCAGGGCCAGGAAGGAAAATGGAGTTAGAAAGAAATGTGATAAGGAATTTCCAGGGTTAGTAAAGAATGTCGAATACCAGAGGTAATTCTGAATCTCAGAGACAATCGAATCAGAATTGCCCGAAAACCGCCAGGGCCAGGAAGGAGAAAAGGAATTCGAAGGGAAGTCGATAAGGATTTCCCAGAGTTGGAAAGGATGTTGTTTTGTTTTTTGTTTACGACGCCAGGAGGTCTAGGCTAGGAAAGAAAAAACCGGATTTAGAACGGTATTTGACAAGGAAGTGCCTTGACAAGGAAGTGCCAGAATTAGAAAAGAATTTCCTTTTGAATGTCGTGTTTTGTCTATTTGTTCCTTTGGCGACGCCAGGAGGTCTGGGCCAGGAAGGAAAAATAGTTAGAACGGAATAGGATAAGGCATTTCCAGAGTTAGAAAGGACATTCATTTTTTGAACGACGCCAGGAGGTCTGGACCAGGAAAGAAAAAAGGAGATAGAAGGGAATTGGATCCGGAATTTCCAGAATTAGACAGGATTAGTATTGTTGCTGCGTTTGTTTTATCGTTTTTCTTTCTGCGACGCCAGGAGATCTGGGCCAGGAAAGAAAAAGGAGTTAGAAGGGAATGTGGTAAGGAATTTCCTGAGTTTGGATAGAATTTTACGACGCCTAGAGATCTCGGACAGGAAGTGCTGATTCGATTGTTGATTCGATTGTCTCTGAGATGCAGAATTCCCCCTGGTATTCGAAATGCCTCTCTAACTCTGGAAACTCCTTATCACATTCCGTTCTAACTCCTTTTTTCCTTCCTGGCCCTGGCGCTTCTCGGGCAATTCTGGTTCGATATTCTCTCAGATGCAGAATTACCCCTGGTATTCAAAATTCCTTTCTAACTCCGGAAATTCCGTATCAAATTCCTTTCTAACTCCTTTTTCCTTCCTGGCCCTGGCGCTTCTCGGGCAATTCTGATTCGACTGTCTCTGGAATGCAGAATTACCCCTGGTATTCGAAACTCCTCTCTATCTCCGAAAATTCATTATCGAATTCCTTTCTAACTCCTTTTTCCTTCCTGGCCCTGGCGGTTCTCGGGCAATTATGATTCGATTGTCTCTCAGATGCAGAAGTACCCCTGGTATTCGAAAGTCCTTTCTAACTCTGGAAATTCCTTATCAACTTCCTTTCTAACTTCTTTTTCCTGCCTGGCCCTGTTGCTTTTCTGGCAATTCTGATTCGATTGTCTCTGAGATGCAGAATTACCCCTGGTATTCGAAATGCCTCTCTAACTCTGGAAACTCCTTAGCACAGTCCTTTCTAACTCCATTTTCCTTCCTGGCCTTGGCGCTTCTCGGGCAATTCTGATTCGACTGTCTCTGGAATGCAGAATTACCCCTGGTATTCGAAACTCCTCTCTATCTCCGAAAATCCCTTATCACATTCCGTTCGAACTCCTTTTTCCTTCCTGGCCCTGGCGCTTCTCGGGCAATTATGATTCGATTATCTCTGAGATGCAGAATTACCCCTGGTATTCGACGTTCCTTTCTAACTCTGGAAATTCCGTCTCACATTCCTTTGTGGCTGCTTTTTCCTTCCTGGCCCTGACGGTTGTCTCTGAGGTGCAGAATCACCCCTGGTATGCGAAATTCATGTATCCTGAAATGAATTATCAACTTCCTTTCTAACTCCTTTATCCTTCCTGGCCCTGGCGCTTCTCGGGCAATTATGATTCGATTGTCTCTGAGATGCAAAAGTACCCCTGGTATTCCAACTTCCTTTCTATCTCCGGAAATTCATTATCAACTTCCTTTCTAACTTCTTTTTCCTTCCTGGCCCTGGCGCTTCTCGGGCAAGTATGATTCGATTGTCTCTGAGATGCAAAATTATCCCTGGTATTCGAACTTCCTTTCTATCTCCGGAAATTCATTATCAAATTCCTTTCTAATTCCTGTATCCTTCCTGGCCCTGGCGCTTCTCGAGCAATTCTGATTCGATTGTCTCTGAGATGCAGAATTACCCCTGGTATTCGAAATTCCCTTCTAACTTGGGAAGTCTTTATCACATTCCTTTCTAACTCCTTTTTTCCTTCCTGGCCTTGGCGCTTCTCGGGCAATTCTGGTTCGATTGTCTCTGGGATGCACAAGTACCCCTGGTATTCGGAATTCCTTCCTAACTCTTGGAATTCCGCATCAAATTCCTTTATAACTTTGTTTTCGGCCTGGCCCTTTTCTCGCACCCCCTTGGAATTCACAACCCTCCCAGGCCGCCGCACGCTAGCTTCGCCGCAGCTACAGCATGCCCGCCGCTAATAATTGTTTACTGTAGCACCTTACAGTACAGCTACAGCATTAATTGCTCAGCGAATGATTAATGTAGTTTTTAACATATAGTAGAATGAAAAAAAGACGAGGTCGGAGTGGGAAGGGGGAAAGGAGCATGAGCATGCGGATGAGGAGAACATAGGAGGGAGCAGGGAGGATAATCCGCCTCCACCTTCATTGTACGATGGCCAGACTCTAAGCATCTATGCTCTGAGCGTTTGCCATCCTCCACCTTCTCCTCCTCCTCCTCATACTACTACTACTACTACTACGACTACTACTACGACTACTACTACGACTACTACTACGACTACTACGACTACTACGACTACTACGACTACTACTACTACTACTACTACTACTACTACTACTACTCAGTATTCTCGTGACGTCTTGGTCAAAAACGGTACCCACGTCTTGGTCATCGTCATTGCAATCACCATGGTCATCTTCATCATCCGCATCGCCACCGTCATCAGACGGTTCACCGTCATCATGAGCATCAGCAGCAGCGGCATCATTGTCGTCATCACGATCATCAGTCGTCGTCATCGCCCTCCTCCTCCTCCTCCTCTTTCTTCATCATCCCTCAGTTTCCCTCCATCTTCCACCTTCTCACCGGCTCCCCGTCCCTTCTGGTCGTCGTCGTTGTCGTCCTAACCCTTCTCCGCGTCATCTGTTATTGCCCCCAAGAAGCCCATCAGCCCGCCTTTAACCTTTAATACCCTCACCATCCTCCCCCACGAAAATTCCTCCTTCTTCTCGTCGTCGATATCCTCCTCATCAATATCATCCTTCTCCTACTTCTACTCCTCCTCCCTCCTCCCTCCTCCCACCAGGGGAGGGGGAGCCAATGCGAAAACCAAGACGACGACAACAAGAATAATGAAAAATACAGGCACCACGACGACGAAGATACAAACGCCGATCTTCACGATGACAACAGACGACGATACCGACGACAGCAAAGACGGTGACAGACACGACGACGGGACGACAACGGCGACGACGACGAAAGAGAAGAGGGACGTCGACGACAGCGACGACGAAGAAGAACAACAACGGCAACGACGCCGCCGCCGACAACGACGACGCCGACGACAAAGAAGAGGGACGACGACGACGACGACGACGGGGACGGCGACGACAACGAAGACGCGAGCCTGCAGGAGCACGCCTGCAACCCTGGCGCCGTCCACGTCGCTCACCTCGACCGTCGCCCCCCTCCTCCTCCTCCTCCTCCTCCTCCTCCTCCTCCTCCTCTTCCTCCTCTTAGTCCTCCTCCTCCTCAACCACTTCCCCCCCCTGTGGGTGTGGGGTGGTTCGTCGTCGCCGCCACCGTCGTCGTCGTCGTCGTCGGCGTCGTCCACCTGCGTCTGCGTCGGCGTCGGCGTCGGCATCGGCGTCGGCATCGGCGTCGTCGTCGTCATCGGCGTCGTCGTCGGAGTCGCCGTCGGCGACGTCCCTCGGCGTCGGCGTCGACGTCGGCGTTAGCGACGTCGTCGTCAGCGTCGGCGTCGGCGACGTCGTTGGAGTCGGCGTCGGCGACGTCGTCGTCGGTGTCGGCGTCGTCGTCGGCGTCGGCGTCAGCGTCGGCAACGACGTCATCGGCGTCGGCGTCGGCGTCGGCTTCGGCGTCGGCGTCGGCATCGGCATCGGCGACGTCGGCGTCGTCGTCGGAGTCGGCGTCTGCGACGACGGCGTCGGGGTCGGCATCGGCGTCGGCGTCGTGGACGTCCGTCGGCGTCGGCGTCGGCGTCGGCGTCGGCGTCGGCAACGTCGGGGCCGGCGTCGGCGACGGCGTCTTCGGGGTCGGCGTCGGCGTCGTCGTCGGCGTCGGCGTCTGCGTCGGGGTCGACGTCAACGTCGGCGTCGGCGTCGGCGGCAGCGTCGGCGTCGGCGTCGGCGTCTGCAACGTCGGTGTCGGGGTCGGCGTCGGCGACGTCGGTGTCGGGGTCGGCGTCGGCGACGGCGTCGGCGTCGTCGGCGTCGGCGTCGGCGACGTCCGTCGGCGACGGCGACGTCCGTCGGCGTCGGCTTTCGCGGCGTCGGCGTCGGCGTCGGCGTCGGAGTCTGCGACGTCGTCGTCGGCGTCGGCGTCGGCGTCGGAATCGGCGACGTCCTCGTCGGCGTCGGCGTCGGCGACGTCCGTCGGCGTCGGCGTCGGCGTCGGCGTCGGCGTCGGCGTTGGCGACGTCGGAGTCGGCGTCTGCGACGTCGGCGTCGGATCGGCGTCGGGATCGGCGTCGGCGTCGGCGTCGGCGACGTCGTCGTCTGCGTCGGCGTCGGCGACGTCGGCGTCGGCGTCGGGTCGGCATCTGCGACGTCGCGTGAGGGAGGCGTCGGCCGTCGGCGACGCCGTCGGCGACGGCGTCGACACCGGCGTCGACGTCGGCGTCGGGCGTCGGCGACGTCGTCGTCGGCGTCGGCGTCGGCGACGCCGTCGTCGTCGTCGTCGTCGCGTCGTCGGCGTCGTCGTCGGCGTCGGGCGTCGGCAACGGCGTCGGCGACGTCGTCGGTGTCGGCGTCGGCGACGTCGTCGGGGCGGCGTCGGCTTCGGCGTCGGCGTCGTCGTCGGCGTCGTCGTCCGTCGGCGTCTGCGACGTCGGCGTCGGCGTCGGCGTCGGCGTCGGCGACGTCGGCGTCGGCGTCGGTCTCGTCGTCGTCGTCGTCCGTCGGAATCGTCATCGGCGTCGGCGTCGGCGTCGGCGGCGTCGGCGTCGGCGGCGTCGGCGTCGGCGTCGGCCTCGTCGTCGTACGCGTCGTCGGCGTGGGCGACGTCCGTCGGCGTCGGCGTCGGCGTCGGCGTCGTCGTCGGCGACGTCGTGCGTCGGCGTCGTGCGTCGGCGTCTGCGAAGTCGGAGTCGGCGTCGGCGTCGGCATCGGCGTCGTCGTTGGCGTCGTCGTCGGCGTTGGCATCGAAACCGAAGTCGGTGTCGGCGACGGCGTTTGCGGCTGCGACGTCGGCGTCGGGGTCGGCGTCGGCGTCGGTGTCCCTCCAGCATCCCATCTTGGGGGGGCCCTGTGGAACCCTGATGCCCATCCCATCTGGTCGGGAGGGAGGGCCTGTGAATCCTCGACCCGGGATCCTATGTAGCGGATTTCGGAAACCCTGAACCCAAAAACGTGTTCATCTCGACCAGCGATAGCTGGGGGAGCTGTGGTCCTTAGGGGCTGGCTGGCCTGTCATCTCTTGGGGGCGCAGTTTTTGCTTCCGCCGCCGTCCGCCGAGCTCCCGCCGGCTTCCGCCGGAGGAGGCGGCCTCGTTCTACTTCCGCCGGCCTACCGCCGCCCCTCCGCCGCCTTCCGCGGCGGAAGAGATGACAGCTCCTTCGATCCTCGAAGGCGAGGCCAGTTTGGGGGAAGAGATGACAACTCCTTCGATCCTCGAAGGCGAGGCCAGCTTTGGGGAAGAGATGACAGCTCCCTCGATCCTCGAAGGCGAGGCCAGCTTTGGCACGCCCCGTGTGTACAGATGTGGACGTGTAGCTGTGCACAGCCCTTGCCTGCCACGTGTCAGTGGCGCGGCCCCCAAAACAGGAGGAGAGAGAGAGAGAGAGAGAGACAGAAGCAGGAAAGAGAGAGAGAGAGAGAGAGCGAGAGAGAGCGAGCGCGCGAGCGAGCGAGAAAGGGAGGAGGGCGCGAAGAGAGGGGCGGAGGGCAACAGGAAGGGAGGAGGGCAGGGCGCGAGAGACAGGAGAAGGAGAGAGGTGAGAGACAGGAGAAGGAGAGAGAGAGAGAGAGAACAAAAAAAAAGCGAGCGAGGCAGGGAGGAGGGCGCGAGGAGAGGGGCGGAGGGCAACAGGAAGGGAGGAGGAGCGAGGACGAGCAAAAACAAAACTGGGCGCGAGGGAGGGGACAGAGAGAAGAGGAGCAGGAAGCTGGGCGGGCGGACCCGGACCGGGCGGGCCGCGTGGGCGGGCCCTGGCCAGCGTGCTGCGCGGGCAGGGCTCAGCTGGAGCGGGAAGGGCGGGCTTCCGAGCAAGCGGGTGGGCGGACACTCCTCGGGCGGGTCGGGCGAGGGTAGAGAAAGATGTAGGAGGAGGTGGGGGAGGAGGAGAAGGAGGAGGACGGGCGAGCGGTTCCCCACGGGCGGGTCGGGCGGGCGGGCCCGAACGGGCGCGTCGGGCGAGCGGGCGCGCCGGGCGGAGCAGCACAAGAGCGCCCCAAGAGGGCCCCCACAAGGGGGCCCCATGGGGGCAGAATGCACCGATGCTCAGCTGTCTGCTCCGTGCTTCTGGGACTCTCGCCGCCAAGACCGCCCCAAGACGGCCAAAGACGCCCCCAAGACCGCCCCCAAGACCGCCCCAAGACGGCCCCCAAGCCGGCCCAGGGCGGCCCCAAGGCGGCCCAAGAGGCGCGCAAGACGGCCCGAGGGGGGCCCGAGGCACCCCCGAGGGGTCGGCCGTCCGAGCCCTCCGCCCCAAGAGGCCTCCAGGAGGCCTCCAAGAGGCCCCCAAGAGGCCCCGAGAGGCCCACGAGTAGGGAGCCCACAAAGGACGTACGCGCCCAGCTACGTACATGAATGCGGCCCCTCGATCCGCGAGACTGGCCGCGTGATACGAAGATTCGGGCAATGCGTACTCTCGAAACCGGCGTGGATTCATGTACGTGTACGTCCTTCTTTCGCTCCTGAGCAAGAGGTCCTCGAGAGGCCCCGAAACGGCGCCCAAGAGGCCTCAAAAACGTCTCCAAGAGGCTCTCGAGAGACAGTCCCGACGAACAGCCAAGAGGCTCATGACCCACAACCGAGGCACGGTGGCGGGACGGGCAAAAGGCCACTGGATCCGCCGCAGCCTGTTGATTCATCATAGGGGTGCCCGGCGTGCCAGATGTCCGGGTGGCTTCTGGCTCATTTCTGAAGAACTCCCCGTGGGCCTTCGGCCCGGCCCGGCGGCTGCTCCTCCCGTCGGTTTTTGTTCGCTCACGCTGGCCTCAGGATGGCCTCCCAGACGGCCGAGATGTCTCCAAGACGGCCAAGATGGCCCCAAGAGCCCAGGAAAGCCCAAAGATGACCTCCAAGGTGGTCCCAAGATGCCTCCTCCAAGACCGCCAGGATGGTCCAAGAGTCCAAGAGAGGAATGCCCGAAGATGCCAAAATCATGAATTTCTCGCATGCTTTTGAAAGATTTTGACATTCGCGCCTTTTCGGCTTTCCGACGGCCCAAGACAGCCCAAGAGGCCCCCAAGATTGTCCCAAGATCGCCCAAGAGGCCTCCAAGATGGCCCCAGGACGGCCCAAGAGGCTCCCAATACGGTCCCCGAAGGGCCCTAAGACGGCCCAAGAGGCCTCCAAGACGCCTTTAAGACGACCCTAAAGTGCCCCAAGAGAGCCCCAAGACGGCCCAGAGAGACTCTCAAGACGGCTTCCCACGGCGTCAGACGGGCCAGGAACACCATAAGACAGCCAAAGAGGCCCCCAAGAAGCCCCCAAAGGCCCCCAAGAGGCCTCCAAGAGGCCCCAAGAAGCTCTCAGGAGGCTCATCCTTCTCCTCGCCCCCTTTTTTCCTCCCTCTCCTCGTCCTCCTCTTCCTCCCCCACGTGTTCCCAGAAGGGCTTCCACAACAACCAGGGAAACGCATGGTCCAATTGCGTTGCCAAGCTTTGTCCCAACGTTCGGCCACATAGGCGTATCCTAAATGGCAGGGAGCGGCGGTGATTCGACGTATCCCAGGGGAGAGCGCGACTCTAGAATGAAGCGCAAGGAAGCCACAAGCGAAGGCGCGATCGCTGAACAAATTGTGAGGGAGTCTCAGGTGGGAGCGTCGTTGTTGAAGCCTAGGGGCGAACAAAGCAATTTGGCACTCAAGATTCTCCCTCATGGAAAACGAGGTGCGATCCTAGGGGGTGGATATCATGACCCCCGCCATGATACCCACCCACCCCTAGTCACCACCCCCCTCTTTGCCGCCCCCGACCTATGAGGCCACGAGGCGCGTGAAGAGAGTGAGCCGAAAATGGGCGCCGGGGGCGCATGTTGCCCGTGCCGCTGGAGCCTTCGGTGAGGCTCCCTTTGTGGGAACACGAGACGTGTCAGGGACTGGCCATCGCTCGGACGTCCATTCCCTGTGCTTTTTTCGGTTTCGTGCGTGGTTTTTTTCGCCAAATGATCAAGGATGCTCCTCGATGGTCCTCGCCGAAAGAAAAATGCACACGTCCGAGCGATGCCATGGGGAAGTGCCGAAACGGGTGTAACGCCCACATGTGAACGGTGCATCTGGGGCTATCGGTGGATCTCCACATGGGTGCACGAGGCGTGACAGGGTGTGCCGAAACGAGCGTGACGCTCACATGCGAACGGTGCCCACGGGGCCCGGGGTGGACCTCTATGGGGCCACGAAACGTGTCGAAACTGGAGCCTTCGGTGGAGCTCCCGATGGGGCCACGAAACGTGTGCCGGAACGGGCGTGACGCCCACATGCGGCCCCTGCCACTGGGGCCTTCGATGGAGCTCCCTGTGGGGCCACGAAACGTTGGAGGGGTGCGCCGAAAAGGTCGTGACGCCCACATGCGAACGGTGCCACGGAAGCACTCGGTGGAGCTCCCCGTGGGACCACGAAATGTGAGAGGGGTGCGCCGAAACGGGTGCGATGTCCACGTGCGAACTGTGCCTCTGAGGCCTTCGGTGGAGATTCTTGTGGGTTCACGAAATGCGTAAAGGGTGCGCCGAAACGCGCGTGACGCACACATGCGAACTGCGCCACAGAGGCACTCGGTGGACCTCCCTATGGGGCCACGAAACGTGTGAGGGGTGCGCCGAAAGGGGTGCGACGCCCACATGCGAACTGCGCTACGGAGGCACTCGGTGGAGCTCCCTATGGGGCCACGCAACGTGTGAGGGGTGTGCCGAAACAGGTGCAACGCCCCTATGCGAACTGTGCCTCTAATGCCTTCGGTGGAGACCCCTGTGGGCTCACGAAACGTGTGAGGGTGCGCTGAAACGCGCGTGACGCCCACATGCGAGCCACGAAACGTGTGAGGGGTGCGCCGAAAGGGGTGCGACGCCCACATGCGAGCTGCGCTACAGAGGCACTCGGTGGAGCTCCATATGGGGCCTCGGGATGTGTGATGCGTGTGCCGACATGGGCAGATGGTGAGGTTGATAGGAGGAGGGAGGAGGGGGAGGAGGAAGTAGGAGGGACGCGGGGAGCTCTCTTTTCAAAGCGAACACCAAACTACACAGAAGTGTTGGGAAGATTAGCCTGACGAAGGACCCACCCATATGCAGTTGTGAGTGCCGCAGTTGTGAGGATCGTTTTCGATGGGATCCCCTATGGGGCCACGAAGCATGTGAGGGGCGTGCCGATTTGGGGAGGGGGGGGCACATGTGAACCCTCCCACTGGGACTTTCGGTGGAGCCCCGTATGGGGCCACCAAACGCGCGAACGGGCGTGACGCCCACATGCGAACTGCGCAACTGGGACTTTCGGTGGAGCTCTCTACAGGGCCACGAAACGTGTGAGGGGTGTGCCAGAACGGGCGTGACACCCACACGTGAACTGCAACACTGGGACCTTCGGTGGACCTCCCTGTGGGGACACAGAACGTGTGAGGGGAGTGCCGAAACGGGTGCGACGCCCCTACGCGAACTGCAACACTTGGACCTTCGGTGGAACTCGCTCTGGGGCAACGAAACGTGTGAGGGGTGTGCCGAAACGGGCGTGACGCCCACATGCGAACTGCTCCACTGGGACTTTTGGTGGACCTCCCTACGGGGCCACGAAACGTGTGAGGGGTGTGCCAAAACAGAAATGATGTGGGGATGGGAGGAGGGAGGGGCGAACATGCGGACGGCAGAGGGAATGTGATGGGATGAGGGGGTAATTAGGCGGAGGAGGAAGGACTCGGGACGCTCTCTGTTCAAGGCGAGGACCCAGCACCATAGGATGGTTGGGAAAAAGAATGAGCATTGGGCAGGGGGGATTTGTTCACCATTCAGAAACGAGAGTTCGACGACAGCAACTATGACAGAAACAACTCTACAGCGTAAAGGTTCTGATCCATCCCTGGAGGCCGCCAGAATGGTGCTGCATCGAACGGGGTCGAGGATCGCACCGCATCGCCGATGCATCAACGATGCATCGGTGATGTCGGGGTGGAAAAACCATGGCTCCACATCGCGCCGCATCGCCGAGGAATCGACGATGCGGCAACTGAGACTTCGGGTAAGGCTTCCGTAGTCCCTGCTGGCCCAAGCAGGCCCCACGAGTAGTCTGGGGCGGGCTCTGGGGCCGGAGCGCCCCAGGGGCTCCGCCGGAGGCGGCGCCAGGGTGTTGAGACCCGGCCACACGGGGGCCTGCTGAGGCCAGCAGGGGCTCTCTGGGGGGGCTGTCTGTGCGCATCCTGCAGCCTCACCAGGTGCGGCGCGATCCTCCGACCCCGGCTGACTGGGCCCACCATTGCTCGGACGTCCGTTCCCCGTGCCTTTTTGGACTTCGTGCGCCCATTCTCTCGCCAGGCGATCCTCGCCGCTGGTCCTCGATGCTCCTCGATGTTCCTCATATGTGTTCGTGGTGTTCCTCCACGGTCTCCTCCTCCTCCTCCTCCTCCTCCTCCTCCTCCTCCTCCTCCTCCTCCTCCTCCTCCTCCTCTCCTCCTCTCCTCCTCCTCCTCCTCCTCCTCCTCCTCCTCCTCCCTCTCCTCCTCTCCCTCCTCCTCCTCTCCTCCTCCTCCTCTCCACCTCCTCCTCCTCCTTCCTCCTCCTCCTCCTCCTCCTCCTCCTCCTCCTCCTCCTCCTCCTCCTCCTCCTCCTCCTCCTCCTCCTCCTCCTCCTCCTCCTCCCCCTCCTCCTCCTCCTCCTCCTCCTCCTCAGGGGGCCACGACTGGGCGGCCCCGAGACTCCCGGCCCCCCGCCTCGATGGCGGGCTCCCCGCCAGTGGGCACGAGAGTGGCGAGCCCCAGGCCGAGCAGGATCTGCCTCTCGTCGTCGTCGTCGGCGAGGGCAGCATCGTCGTCGTCGTCGACGTCGTCGTCCTCGTCGTCGTCGTCGTTTGCGTCGGCGTCGGCATCGTCATCGTCGTCGCCGTCGTCGTCCTCGTCGTCGTCGTCCTCGTCGTGGTCCTTGTCGTCGTCGTCGTCCCAGTCGTCCAAGTGGTCGTCGGCATCGGCGTCGTCGTCGTCGGCATAGTCGTCGTCCTCGTCGTCATCGCCGTCATCGTCGTCGTCGTCCTCGTCATCGTCTTCGACGGCGTCGGCGTCAGCGTCGGCGACCGCCTCGGCGTCGTCGTCCCTGTCGTCGTCGGCGGCGGCGGCGGCATCGTCGGCGTCGGCGTCGGCGTCAGCGTCAGCTTCGGCGTCGTCGTGGTCGTCGTCGTCGTCGTCGTTATCGTCGTCCTCATCGTCAGCCTCGTGGTCGACGTCGCCGTCGTCAGCGTCGTCGTCGGCGTCGGCGTCGTCGCCGTCGACATCTTCGTCGCGGTCCTCGTCCTCGTCGTCCTGGTCCTCGTCGTCGTCCTCGTCGTCGTCGGCCAACTCGTCGTCGTCATCCTCGTTGTCGAAAACCTCGTCAACGTCATCGTCCTCGTCGTCCTCGTCGTCGTCGTCGTCGGCGTCCTCGTCGTCCTCGTCGACGTCCTCGTCCTCGTCGGCGTCGTCGTCGCCCTCGTCGGCGTCGTCGTCGTCGTCCTCGTCGTCGTCGTCGGCGTCGTCGTCGTGGTCACCCTCGTCATCGTCGTCGTCGCCGTCGGCGTCGGCGTCGTCGTCCTCGTCGTCACTGTTGTCGTCGTCGTCGCCCTCGTCGTCGTCGTCGTCCTCGTCGTCATCGTCCTCCATGTCGTCGGCGTCGTCGTCGGCGTCGGCATCTTCGTCGGGCGTCGGGCGTCAGCGTCGTCGTCCTCGTCGTCCCTGTCGTCCTCGTCGTCGTCGTCCCCGTCGCCTCCTCGTCCAAGTCGTCGTCGTCGGCGTCGCCGTCGTCGTCTTCGTCCTCGTCCGTCGTCCTCGTCCTCGTCGGCGTCATCCCCGTCGTCGTCGTCGTCCACGTAATATTCGTGGTCGTCGAAGTCGTGGGCGTCGTCGTCGTCGTCCAAGTCGTCGTAGTCGTCCTCGGCGTCGTCGTGGTCGTCGTCGTCGTCGTCGCCGTTCTCGTCGTCGTAGTCCTCGTCGTCGTCGGCGTCCTCGTCGTTGTCATCGTCGTCGCCAACCTCGTCGTCGTCATCTTCCCCCTCGTCATCGTCCTCGTCGTCGTCGTCGGCGTCGTCCTCGTCGTCGTCGTCGTCCTCGTCGTCCTCGTCGTCGTCATCGTCGTCGGCGTCGTCATCGTGGTCGATCGTCCACATCGTCCTCGTCGTCGTAGTCGTGATCGTCATCATCGGCGTCGTCCTCGCGCTCGTCGTCGTAGTCATCGTCGTCGTCTTCAACGTCGTCGTCGTCGTCGCCGTCCTGATCATCGCCGTCGTCCTCGTCGACGTGATCGACTTCGTCGTCCTCGTCGTCGTCGTGGTCGCCCTCGTCGTCGTCGTCGGCGTCGTCGTCGTCCTCGTCGTCGTCGGCGTTGTCTGTCGTCGTCCTCGCCGGCGTCGGCGTCGTCGTCCGCGTCGTTGTCCTCGTCGTCGTCCTTCTCTTCGTCGTCCTCGTCGTCGTCCTCGTCGTCGTAGTCGTCGTTGGCGTAGACGTCGTCGGCGTCATCGTCATGCTCGTCGTCGTCATCGTCGCCCTCGTCCGCGTCGTCCTCGTCGTCGTCGTGGTCATCGTCGTCGTCCTCGTCGTCGTCGTCGCCGCCCTCGTCCTCGTCCTCGTCGGCGTCGGCGTCGTCCTCATCGTCGTCGTCGTCATCTGCGTCTTCGTCGTCGTCGGGCGTCGTCCTCGTAGACGTCGTCCTCGTCCTCGCCGTCGGCGTCTTTGTCGTCCTCGTCGTCTTCGTCGGCGTCGTGGTCGGGCGTAGTCGTCGTCGTCCTCGTCGTCGTCGTCGGCGACGTCGTTGTCGTCGTCGTCGTCGTCCTCGTCGTCATCGTCGTCGGCGTCGTCGTCGTGGTCGTCGTCGTCGTCGCCGTCCTGCTCAAAGCAATGATCCTCGTCGTCGTCTTCGACGTGGTCGTCCACCTCGTCGTCGTCGTGGTCGTCATCATCGTCATCGTCGTCGTCGTCGTCTTCGTCGGCGTCGTCGTCGTCGTCCTCGCCGTCGTCCTCCTCGTCGTCGTCGACCTCGTCGTCGTCGTCGGCGACATCGTCGGCGTCGTCGTCGTCCCTGTCGCCGTCGAGGATCAAGGCTCGAGGGTCGAGTACTTAGGACGTTGGCTTCCCCTCCCTGGCCTGTGGGAAGCTTCTCGCCGCCATGCCTGCCTGGTTCCGCCCCGACATTCGGCAGCGAGTCCCGGGCGGAAGAGAGAAGGAGGGGGCCTTCCCGGAAGCCTCGGCAGTCCCCCCGGCCTTCTGACAAGTTGTCTACTCCGAGCTTCTGAATTGGCGACGGGGGGGCGTCACCCCCGCCGACCGCCCCACATCTCGACCCCCGTCGCGGGCAGCCACGCGCGCCGGAAGCGCTCCGACCCCCGTCGCGGCACGACGACGAGGCGAGGTTGACCCCAGTTGGAGGGGGACCCCCCCACGCTCATTACGACACCCAGGGCAAGCCTTCCCCGAAGACGCAGACACCTTCTCAGAGGGTCGGAGGGTTCCTAAAGAAGCCCCGCCGCCTTCTGAGGAGGCCTCCTCCTTCTCACTCCCCCCCCTGGCCCGCCGCCGAGGAATCATGGTCAGCACTAGGGGAACAAAAAGTGGCATAAACATAAGAACTCACGAGAGAGGGAACCCAAGATGAACCAGGAGGGCTCCAAGAGGCCCAAAGATGTCCCAGGATTGCCCCAAGAAGAGGGCCCCTGGAGCCTCAGACAACCCGAAAAGATATCATGCTGCCCCCAAGATGGTCGTGAGGAGCCCAACGAATCCCCCAAGAGGGCCACCTCATCATCGTCAGCATGATCCTCTTGCTCCTCGTCATCACAGTCCTAATCCACCTCCTTTCGCTCTCACCCCTCATCCCTTCTCCTACTCCCACATCCTCCTCCTCCTCCTCCTCCCTCCCCCTTTCCTCCTCCTCCTCCTCCTCCTCCTCCTCCTCCTCCTCCTCCTCCTCCTCCTCCTCCTCCTTCTCGTACTCCTCGTCACCTCATTCCTCCTCCTCCTCCTCCTTCTCCTTCTCCTACTCATCCTCCTCCTCCGCCTTCGCCTCCTCCTACTCCTCCTCATCCTCCTCCTTCTCATGTTCCTCCTCGTCCCCGCCATCAAAAACAAAAAACGCCACCCCTTGGTCGCAACACCAGGTAGCGCGCCGGTAAGGCGGGCCGAGCGCTTCGCCCGAGGCATGCGGCTACGTTCGGACGTTCCCAGCGGCTACGGTCGGGAGCTTTTGCTTAGCGTGTCGCGGCGGCGGCCCCAACGAAACGCTACGCCTTGCAAGCGGGTAGCGTGTCGCTCCGCTCCGCGGGGCGGGGGGCTGTGCAAGGATTGGGGCGTTGACGCCAAGGGACAGGGTAAATAGTGTATCGCGACCAAGCGCGGTGGACTAGAGCCGACTGCGCGACACGTTGAGCCAAAATTCCTGACCGTAGCCATCGCGCCGCGAACGTTCGTCCGAAAGGCTTCCAACGATTACACGGATGGATGGCGGCTCTTTTTGTTTTTCAAAACGGATCAATCGCGTAAGAGTTCCCCAAGCTCGATGGCCCGAACTGCTCACGAGTGTAGCAGTTACACGAACGGAACACGGATTATTGTTCGACAGTGGGGTTCGCGCTTGAGAGCCCCTCAAACTCCAGACACTTGCGCGCATTGCACACGGTCGCCGTTCAAGCTTCACCTTTCTGAGCATGCGTCTCCGCATCCCCTACAGCTGCCCGATTGCTCGCAGCGGCTTGGCACGAAGCCGCGGTCAAGACAACCGAAGGGCACTGCGGGACCGAATGAATTGGGCAAAGCAGGAAGAGGGAAAGCGCAAGGGAAGGAGACGGCATCCCTTGAAGCTGCACTGCACGCGTGGAGGGCATCTCCCCCTCGAGAGCTGGGCTCTCGCCCGGAACGTGGGCCCACGGGCGGACGTCTCTCAATGGGACGCGCCCCGCAGGAAAAGGACCTGTTGCAGGGTCAGGCGGGAGGGGTCTAGGGCAGGAAGGGTGTATTGCAGCATCGCTGACGTGCGAAGGCAAAGGAAACCAGGGCGTCCGTGAAACTGCGACATGCTGGTTCCCTCACATTTCAGGGCGTCCGTGAAGCTACGACATGAGTGAAACAGGACCGCCGCGCGGAGACGCCGTATACTGTGTGTGCATCAGCCGATCCACCCCCAGAGCCTCCTCGCCGTCCAGTCCTCGTCCTCGTCCTCGTCCTCGTCCTCGTCCTCGTCCTCGTCCTCCTCCTCCTCCTCCTCCTCCTCCTCCTCCTCCTCCTCATTCTCCTCCTCCTCATTCTCCTCCTCCTCCTCGTCCCCCTCCTCCTTCTGCCTCCCCCACCCCATTTCCCGCCCCAGCCCACCCCAGACTGGGGACCGCCCAAGCCTATCAGCCACCAGCTTAATCGACTTCTTCAGGTAGTAGATACCAGGAGAAAGCACGACATGCAAGCCCTGCGTCAGGGCCCTGTTGATGCTCGTGTCGTCGTCTTTGGAAGCATCGGCAACGAATACGTAGTTGAAGTTGATGCGGTCGCGCGAAAGAAAATCGGTACCCCGTCTTCCAACATCCACGCTCGGGACGTTAAGATCCGCCTACGTGCCTCAAGCATGCTGGGGTGTATGGTTTCCTGTGGGATGCCTTGCAGGATTGTTGTAGATTCCCCAAAACCCGACAAAGGACGACCAAAGAACTGTGTCTGCCCAGATGCCCCTGTAGCCAACAAGATGCCCAAGCACGGCCCTGGGATGGTCCCAAGAAGGGCCGAAGAGCCCAAGCTACCCCAAGACCGCCACGAGACGGCGTCAGGGCGACCAGAAGACCCTTGCAAACGGCCCCGAAATGGCTCAGGAGGAGGAGCGAACGTCACAAAGATTCAGGAAGAGGATAAGACGCTGCTTGGCGCCGCCGCGCGTCTGCACAGACGGGCACATTAGCGGAGGGGGGGCGGCACATCGACCTCCCCTCAAGCTCCGATCGTGACGATGCCCACCCGAAGGATCTCGGCAGCATCGTGGAGCACAACATTGTTATGAATACTATGAAGAAGGCAGCCTCACACTGTGAGGATTCGAGTGCTGGCTGCCTGTAAACGGTGATGGGGCCCACTAGGAGCCTCAGCCAATGAACTTCGGGATCCGTGGCCTGCAGAGGCCTGGGCGCCGAGAAAACACGACCGTCGACTCTCCCACCGACGGCAGGGTGTTCCCCCGCCAGAAACAGCTTCTTCTTACGAGCAGCACGCCCCGAGGTGCGATGATCCTCGGCAGCACAGTCCACTAGTAAATGGCCTGCGGTCCCCGTTGGAAACATACCGCACGACACGCGCAGGAAGCAGTGGCCAGGAGCGACCCACACTCTGTGGCCTCGCGAGGCCGTCGCAAGCACAATGCCCACACGCGGCACCATGGCCGCAGGGACCGCGAAACCAGCCTCGCGAGGCCCGTCGTTCCTCCCGAGACCCGCGCGTTGCCGTTTGCGGACGGGGGCAAAGGCTGGGCCTACAGCCGGGGCGTTGAACTAAGGAACCCTAAATAAGGAACGAGGCCCCTTTTTCCATAAGTTAAACCTCGACTTCCTATCGAAAGCATAAGGAAAACCTGAGGCAAGGTGAGGACCACTTAAGAAACGCGGAGCCCCTCCCCAACCAAAAGGGTTCCTTCTTCTGGGCCCCGACTGTACATGATCAGGAATCAAGTCAGGGTCGACCATATTCCTGGCTCCGCTGCGGGCCGACGGGGGGTCATCCGAGACGCTGACGCTGACAACCGCTTGCTCGAGCTCACGAGCATCGATGGTGGAGGCAGCAACAATCGGACCGAATTCAACACGCTGTCAGACCGCACGCCCGTCAGGGCTGCGGTACGACACTCCAGATTCAGCAGCTCTCTTCCTCCCCTCCTGAAGTTCAGCAGGGGAGGGGAAGCACACTCTACTACACTCTGCTTGCCACGGGCAGGACACGCAGACAATTGAAGCTTCTGAAGCGCTTTGCACGACCTCACACCTTTCTTACAACAACTGCATCTGGTGAACCCCGACTGCGCACGGAAGACGCGCCTCAGGTGAGGCGGTGGAGGGTGGGGGGGGGGGGGCTGCACCCTAGGAGCCTTGCGTCGGCGGGGTCGAGCTGTATCCCACCTTCGTGTTTCATTCATCCCATTACTCAAATCATGCAAACGCGCAGCAACTAGCCAATGCAAGACGCACCGGATGGACCGCAGGGCGAGACGCATGGCTTTCTGCTGCTGGGACGCAGCAGCATGGATATCCCTGCCAGCACGCGCAGCTAAATCAGCCTATCGATTCGCTCCCGCAGAGACAGACGCTCCAGCCCCATGCTCGCGGACATGAGAAACTCGAATGGCCTCTCCAGGGCCCCCGTGGTCATCGATTTTGCGCCAAATCCTGGTGCACAAATCCGCGTTGGGCCGTCGGGGCCCCGAGGCGCACGTCGGCCCCCAGGCCGGCCACTCTAACATACCCATACAATCAGCATGTACATGCACGAGTGCGATACATACAGCCCCCTGGATTAAAAAGTGGAGACCGCAGGGGCCGAGGTAGACGTGGTTTGCCTCCCGTTAGGCAGCGGGGCCCCGGGACAATGTTGGATTTGTTGCCAATTCCGGAGTTTCCGGTGCCTCCATCATCCCTTTTAATATTATAAAGGCCAAATGGGGCTCCGACCGGAAAGTGGGATTCTGCCTAGGACTTCCTCAAAAAAAGTTTCCGGTCGCCTTCCAGGGCGACCGGAAATTCGGCCATGCCACCGGAAAGTGGCGATTCCGCGTGGGACTTCCTCAAAAAAATATTCCGGTCCCTTTTGAGGCCGCCAGACAGTGGCGATTTCGCGTGGGACTTCCTCACACATTACTTTTTGTCGCATCTCATGCCACCAGAAAACGACGATTTCGCTTGAGACTTCCTGACATTCGAGTTTCTGGTCTCATGTACGCTCACACAGACGCCGCGGACCTATTCCTCTTCCCACTCTCTCCTCTTATCATCACAGTATTGGATTGTTCCGTGTCGCATGCTCTCCGTGCAAGTCAGATTCCAGTTGCCACAGCCTCGCGCGCGCGGTCCTATCTGCGCCTGGGCGGATGTCCGCAGGGATGGCCGTTGCATCGTTCGGTTCACAGGTTTGTCTTGGAGTCATCTTGAGGCCATCTTGAGGTCGCGTCGGGTCGCAGGCCCCCCTGTGGGAGGTTCGATCCCAGGGTCATTTTGGGGCGACGCGGTTGACCCAGGATGTACGGTCCAGAATCGACGATCCAGGATCGATGATCGAGGATACACGATCGATGACCCAGGACCGACTGTGGAAGAGCGAACCCATATCGATCGGAAACGAGGCTTTGGGTTCCACGGCCGATCAAAGTTCGACAACCACCTAGCGATTGAGGGTCGGAGATCGAGGGTCGAGGATCCAGGGCCGTTCGGACATCGAGGAGCCAGGATCGAGCGGCCACGATCCGTCGAAGTTCGACGCTGGATGGTTGAGGGTCGGAGATCGAGGGTCGAGGATCCAGGGCCGTTCGGACATCGAGGAGCCAGGATCGAGCGGCCACGATCCGTCGAAGTTCGACGCTGGATGGCCGATCGAAGAGCGACGATCGAGAACCGATGTTCCAGGCTTGATCGAAACTCCAGGCTCCAGAATGCCTGGCCGATCGAACATCCATGATCGAGGTTCGATCGAGGCTCGAGGATCGAGGATCGAGGGCCCCAGATACTTCGAGGGTCGAGGATAGAGGTCCGGTCGAACAGCGACCATCGACTTCCCAGGATCCAGTCCCGATCGAAAGTCGCGGCTCGAAAGCCGAACGACGGACGAATACCAGGATGCGGTTCTTTCGGTGCAGCTCCGATCTCAACTTTTTAATCCAGGGGGTGGTACTTCTAGCGCTTTCAGAAACGCGTAAAGCTCAGCCCGCGGGGGACTTTGGATCGGACCTGGGAGCGCGCCATAGACCATAAGCTCGATGCAGTGGGTGCACTTAACGAAGCCCCACCCAACCCTCGAAGACTCTGGCCAGAACCAAGCTTTCCTGCAGGCACCGTCCGCGTATATATCCCCGGTGACTCGGCCAAGAGATCCGCACTCTACGTGCCAGCGATCACTGTCGACGCGCCACTGCAACGGAGGGAGGCAAGATCGCGAGGAAAGCCCTCGCGTCGAAAACCACGAGCCATGCGTTCTCTGTGAGAAACGTCAAATCCGCATTGCCCAGGGCGGTCTGCCGCTGCTGCTCACGCCCAGGACATTCCCATACGGTGCGATACGGGGTGCAATGCTAATTCGGGCAGAAGGGACACTTCGATGTAGGAGCGTAACCATGTTTGTACAGACGGCTGGGGGCCCAGAACCCACCACCAACGAAAGTGCGTAACATGGCGCTGTCTTGAACGGAAGCGGTCCACGGGGTGGCCACTTGTTCATCTTCGGTTTCCGATTCCGAATCGACGGGGCCGTCTGGGGCTCTCTGGAGCACACTCATGATGGGCTCAATCCAATACCCAAATGGGCTCCTTGGGGTCCACGCCATCATCTGCAGGGTTGTCACATGATGCCCAAGACGACCACATCTTACGAACAGCAGCAGCTCTCGCCAACTCACGCACACCATACGGGGCAAATGAGCGGAAGTCGATCTTGTCACCAAAATCCGCCACGACGACGAAGGCGGAAATGGAGAGCCAACCGATGTCTCTGAAGGCCAGCAACATTGCGCCTGTCGTCCCTGCACTTGCACCCAGGGACTAAGCGCTTGGAGGACACGAAATACCTGTCGCTGCCAGGCCTTCAGCAACACGTCGTGAGAGATACAACGGTCCTGAACCAGAAGGGCCTATTGGAATATCGTTTGCATCCAACAGTAGACCTGCGGGTCCTTCCCCGTGGATCCCTGGATGCATGATGAAATCCACGCTGAAGTACTTGCCCCTGGCGAATGCCATGTGCCCCTCATGCACTCCAACTCCAGACTGCATAACCGAAGGGAGCGCCTGCCGAACAAAACGTGAAACCACTGCCCCTGCATCGTTAAAAACCGGCAGCCTTGGCATGCGAAGCCGCGTTCGGGCGACGCGCGATCGCAGGCGAGCGAATCGCAGCCTCCTCCCCGCAGCCACTTCGACGCCCAAGAATTCCAACACCGAAGCATAGCGATACCCAAGATGTCTGATTCGGCGGACGACCTGCTTCCCAATCGACGTCGAAAGAACATCCCACCAACAGCTCATGCCTTGCGGGGCTCAAGCTTATGCTTCTCAAGGTCCCAACGAGGGACGACAAAGTGGTTGCGGCGGGGGCGACGGCGCGACCCTCGACGTCCCTGATCGCTCTGGCAACGTCGTCAACGTACAAATCTGTAGTGCGCATGACGTGCTGTGTGCAGTCGCGCATGCACATCGCCATCGGGCACCCAGGCAGAACGCCTCTCGTGGCCCAGATCTCGTCAGAGAAGTCGAGTCCCAGGCAATCCTGCGAGCTGATCTGTACACCTGCACTGCCAACACGAGCAGTCGAGCTGGAAATTGATGCCGAGCTACGGCAGCAGTGAGAAGACGCCAGGGTATGCGACCAGAG